AACAGGATGCCATTAAAAAGGACGCCGAAAAAAAGGACACCGTTAACAAGGACACCGTAAAACAGGACACCGTAAAACAGGACACAGTTAAAAAGGACACCGTTAAAAAGGATACCGTTAAAAAGGACACCGTAAAACAGGATACCGTTAAAAAGGATACCGTTAAAAAGGACACCGTAAAACAGGACACCGTTAAAAAGGACGTTGGTAAAAAGGATGGCACCACAAAGGAGGTTGCCAAGAAAGACGTAGGAAAGAAAGTGGCATCGGGATCCGCAGAGACAACCAAAGTCAAAGAGGAGAAGCAGTCAAAGCAGGACAGCAAAAAGGACATTAAAAAGGAGAGTGTCAAGGGCACATTAGACAAACGTGACAAAAATAAGCGCAACGAAAAACCCACTGCTTCTAAAAATCCAAATAATAGCCACAGTGGCACTAATGCTACACCAAATAGTAACCCGAAGAATGATGCAAAGGAAAGGCCTAGAGTTGAAAAGGAATTCACTCCCCAGGAAAAGGAAACTACTAGCAGTGAGGATATCAAGCAAGCCACTTCCACGAGCACAGAGACAAAACAAGCGGAGAAGGTGCACACTAAGGGCACACCAACAAGCGCTGGTAGCACTAGCAACAATGGCAGCAGAAATAGCGGTGGTGTCCAAACGGGTAAGGGGAAGAACATTGGTGCAGGAGGAAAAGACATTCCGAACAAGGCGAACGACTCGAAGGCCACGGAAAGCAACACAGTAAAGAGTAAGGACGATCATAAAGGCGAAGGAAACTCAACACCCCCCGTCGAAAGGAGTGGTAGCAGCGGGGGCGTTACTACTGAGGAGGAACCCCCAAAGGAGCAAAGCGTGCTGCCTAACCCCATCGGTGGAACCATAAACATAAACATAATAGCCAACCCTAACTATGAAGCAAATCAAACGAAAGGGAAGGAGAAGAAGAAACGCCATACTCATGCCAAAGGTAGGGGGAAAAAGAATCGACATTTGTACAAGAGAGGTAATGGAAGAAATTACAAAGTAGACAGGGAGCAAACCCGTAGGAATGAGTTGAGCAGCAGTACAAATTCAGGCAATTCGGAATGGAGTGAAGATGCGCGAGAGGTACGAAGTGGTGTGGATCCTAATGTGGACGTCCATGTAAGCAACCGTGCTGGGCAGGGTGGTAAACCCACTTCACCTGAAGAGGGTGCACACAGTCGAAGCGAAAGCCCATCGGAGCTGTCCGTCTCAATAGAATTACCTCACGGATCGAGTGAAGTCAAAAAGGCAGAAGCTGTTATGATCCCTGAGAGGGAAAGTGCACAGAAGGAAAAAAAACTAAACCTTCTCCAGATGAACGCTGAAAACGGTGACCGTGTCGACGAAGCAGACGAGTATGCGGATGAAGTGGATGGTGATACCCAAGATGAACTCATCTTAGAAAAAGTGAGGGAAAATAAAAACCTAGAACGTTTTGGAGAAGAAGACACTGTAGAAAATATAGCATCAATAGAGCACCCCCTAATTAGGAAGAAAAAAAATATAGTAAAAAATTCACGTAAGGTGTATAATTTAAATCTGTATAACTGTACCTTCATAGACGACTGGGACTTGAATCATGAGTACATGGATGAAGAGGGTTCCTTGGTCAAGTTAAGTGGATACGTTTTTCAAAATATGGTGAATTCGGATTTGATGCCCACTGCAAATATAACTGACTGGAAGTTAAAAGGATCATGCGATTACGATAAGTATGTATGTGGCGCTTTGGGATACATGAATAACGTGTACAGCAAGGGTGAACGAGTTATATTTGAAGGTCGAGTGTACGAGGCCACCAGCGATGCTTACGGCACTCCGAGGGAAATGGAAAATGTGTGGGTAGAGAAGACAGATGACTGTTATGATTTTTAGGAAGGCACAGATTCAAAAGGTGAACACGGGCTTAGAAGGGAATTAGGATGCGAGCTGGAGAAGGGGTGGTGAGGTGGGGGGGAAGGCATTCTCCTTAAGCACGCACTAACGTGTTGCGTGTGCGGTGGAGTGTACTTTGATTCTGCCACGATTTCTTTCTCCCTTCGCGCAGTACCTTTTCCATGTCTTCCCTCGATATTATACATGCCTTTAACTTCATCCGAGGCGATGAGAGGATAGGTGTGTGCGCAAGTCAACAAAACGCTCCATTTAGCCACTTTGCAAATGACAGCACGAGGTTGTTGCCCCCCTTGGTCTGAACCATAAGGGAGCACCCCCTGATTTGTCTTCATCTGTTAACTATGCATATGTACGTATGCTCATTTTTCACCAGCCCACTTTCTCAGTGTGGTGCAAAACTGATTAGCCGAAGTAGGCTTCGCCAAACTGCTCAATTCCGTTGTAGCATTTTTTTTACTAGATAGACACTACCGATCGGGGAGCGCTTCCAAGAAGTGGTTTTCTACAGAGACGAAAGGTACACGTAAGGACAATTAGATACTTCAACGCGGCTTTTTCCATCACGAGGTGAAGCTTTTCCGTGAGAGTGTGTTTTACTAGGTAATGTTTTTTACATCATAGGGTTCAGACAGGAGGGTGTGTTTCCGGTGTTCCTTTCCCCAGAGGAGCGCTTTTTTTTTTTTCTCTGTTTCTCCCCCTAATCTAGTTTTGATTGTGGAGAGTGCATACAACTTTCCACAGCGTAAGACTTCCTATTCTACTTTCCTGATGGCACAAATTGTGGCATGACTTGCTGCTCAAGTTGTAAACCCATCAAGGAAGTCCAAATGTGGTAGCAGGGCTTTTTCTTTAAAGTACAAAAAAGGAATAGAAGTTTTTAATTTATATTGTATGGTGAGGAACGATGACAGATTGGGATGAATTAGGGGGAAAAAAAAAAAAAAAAACAACAAATAGATATATATCCTTGTGTGTATTCGAATTGGGACAAAGGGTGGAAAAAGGGGGGGATGCATAAACGAATGCATAACTTCGAATCGGTGACGTGGTGACCTGAATAGAGATATGCCCACTTATCATCCGTTTGGTCTTTTCACCGGGTGCATACGCAGGTGTCTGCTCTGCACACAGATAATCATTTGGGACTACACCCCACATGTGAACAGTGGTCTCTTGGCAGAATCATATCGACGCCACGGTCGAGTGAGAAAAGATGTCCAAGAAAAGCGGGTCATTTTTAATCTCACTGAAGGTCCCAATGGAACATATCCTGCCTTGATCGACCATAATTATTTTATCCATCTGGTGCAATATATTCATGGAGTGGGTAATGTAAATGATTGTCTTATTAGGTATAATTGTATTAATTAGGTTGTACACTTTTTCTACATTGGACTCATCTAGAAAGGAAGTGATTTCATCGAAGACATAAATTGGGGTGTCTTTTATTAAAGACCGGATGATGGATATTCTTTGTCTCTGTCCTGATGACATGGCATTGTTTTGAATACTTGTGTTCACGTGTTCTGGCAGGGAGTGTATGAACTGGGTCAAATCTAACCGTTCGCACAGTTTATTTAGTGTTTCGTTTATGAGGCTTAATTTGTCTTGTCCGTACTCCTCCATGAGGGAGGAATGGAATTGTCCGTACTCTTCCACAAGAGCGGAATTGACTTGATCCCTCAGGGGGGCTTCCTCACTGCTTGGAATTATTTTCCCTTCACCTGGGCGCGCATTGCAATTTTCGCGTTCGCTGTGGGCATCTTCATCTTGTTTTTCATTTGGCATGACTTCTCCTTCCCGCGATGGAGTCGACTTGTCATTGTGCGCAGACTGACCATTGCTGATTGGACCTGTGAGGGCACAAGGCAACTCCTCCACTCCCATGGTGATAACCTTGGGCAACTGTCGCTTGCCCTCAATGTTTACCGGTAACAAGGCGTACACTAAATTTTCGTACAGAGACCTATTCAGGACGCAGCAGTCCTGCTCACTAACCGATATGATGCATTTTTTAAAATAAGTTTTGTTTATATTTTTTAAGTCATATTTGTCAATGTATATATTTCCCTGGTAATCATATTCCGTGGTGAGCAGCTTCCACAGGGTTGACTTTCCCGACCCGCTCTTACCTATGATGGCTACCTTTTCATTTTCTTTTATTTCAAAGTTTATATTTTTTAGCACATCTTTCTTCTTACTTGCATCAAACGCATTATAGGCGAAGTTGACATTTTCGAATTTGAGACTTCCGCGAAGGCTTCTTGGACATGGATCACCAAGTAAAGGGGAATCTGCTGCCCCATTTCCATCACCCATGGTGTGTGTGGAGTCTTCTATTGGGCTTTCCATCCGAAGAGGAACATCCTCCCTCATTACACGTGTTGTCGGTTCATTCCGTTCTCCATTTGTGACCGGAGTGAAGTCCACAATTTCATAAATCTTCTGTAGACTTAGCTGGAGAACACCGAGATCCTTTTTCAATTTTAACATGCCGACAACACCTAACCCTAACATGCTAGAGAAGGCAATGAAGGAAACAAGTTGGCCATGGGTGATATGTTTCTTGTTCAGCTCGCTTCTTCCAAAGCAAAGGATAGAGCAAATAACAATATTGCTTCCTATATTGAGGAAGGAATAAAAAAGGGACTCCCAATTTGTATACCTCTCATTTAATCTGTTCATATATTTTAGGTTTTGACAAAAAAATCGATTTTCATGATAATCATTTCCAAAAAATGAAATGACATTTTTTTTTTGTAAAATGTCTGACAATCTAGCCATTTGTTTTTCTTCACAATTGGAGACTTTCATTTTAATACTTTTGAGTTTTCTCAAAATCAACAGGACGAGAAACCCGTAGGTGGGCACAACGAAGACACACAGTTTGGTGAGGTACGGAGATATGCATACCATTGAGATACTTCCCCCGAGGATAGAATTACCATAACGCACCATTTGTGTGATGGACGTAATTAAATTTTTGGCAGAAAATTTTATTTCGTTAAAAACACAGTTGATGAGATAATCTGGTGATTTATGTGATTTAAATTTTTCACTGTTTTGTGTAATGATTGTTTTGTGCACTTGTTTTTTCAGTCGGTCCTCTACCTTCTTAATGCACTTGTTTGTGAAGTATATTCTGAAGTAGGACGCCACGCCTCCGCAGAGGAAGTACGGTAGGAAGCAGAACACAGCATGCGCACCTCTGTCCTGGGTACCCAGGAGTAGTTTGTTTAAAAATTTGCTCTTCTTCACGAGTGTCACCAGGAAGTTGCACTTGGAGGGCGCCACCGTGGTGCTTCCACCGACGCTACCACCCCCATTAACCCCGCTAATTGGGCTTACGCTCCCCTGTGCCAGATTCACCGTCTCAACACACTCCCCCATAATTTTAGGGTAACTCAAGTTGGTGTAAGCATTGATGGCTAAAAATGCGAAGGCGATAAAGAGTAGCGTCTTTTCCCCTTTTGTCATGTCGGCTATAGCTCTTACAAGGAAATTATTCTTCCCTTTTTCCGCTTCCCCCTTTGCGGATGCACCTTCCTCTATTCCTCCATCTTTCGGTTTGTTCTTCAGTGAGTTGTCTAGGCCATGACTTGAAAACACAGCATATATATTATTCAGGATTTTTCCGAGCGGCTCCTGGGCCTCTTTGCACTTCCGCAGAGCGTTCCCCATGTTTCCCCTCTAGCGACATATATATGGCTGCTTCAGCTGCGAGGCAGAATTGAAGCCACTGCACCTATGTCGCTGTGTTGGGTCACGTTTTGAAGCCGCTTGACCTACTTCGCTACTTCATCTGCCGCTTCTTCCGTTGCTTCCCCCGCTGATCCACGTGTGCAGTTGCCACCCGTCGGCACATAAACTGGTCGAGCAGGATGTGGAACACTACAAAATGGCGCAAGTTAATTCACATGATGTAAAGAAGCATGCAGCCGTGTATGCTTTTTCATGTAGAACACTTTTTGAGGCAAAAATACAAACGAGGAGAGAAGCCATTAGGGGGGTGGAAATTAAACAATCCCAAAAAAGTACAGCTGACGTAACACTGCTATGAGGGTGAAGCATACA